TTTAATTTTTTTTAATTTACTGAAAAAATCGATATTTCATATTTTGTAAAAGCCTCTTCGAAATTTATTTCAATATAAAGAACAAATCGGCTTCAAAATAATGACTAGCATGCATTTAATTTTTTTTTTTAGATGCAAAAGATGAAAAAAATCTGGTGTATGTGGGAAATATTTACTAATATTGAGGTTGGTAATGTTTTTCTTTTTTTTCGCAGGTCTGGGACCCAAAATTGGTCTGGAGTTTAAAAATTTGCTGGAACCCTCAAATTGATCTGCAATTCAAAAAAATTCAGGGACCCTAAATTGGTCTGAGATCCTAAATTTTCTGACCTGTGTAGCCTCGTGAGGTTACAGACCTGTGGACCTGTAGATCTCAAGAGGTCTTATCTCTGGGTCTTGTGCACCAGCTGCTACACTATGAAGGCTTCACACAGAGAATCCTCGTCATAAAAGTTGCTCAGAAAGGATTCTTAGATTCCACACGCACTCACGCACGCAACCAACCTCTTCCCAGAAACCACAATGGGTGGGGGGAGGGACGCCGCTGTCACCGAGAAAGACTGATACCTCACCAGGTATTCTCATGGGCAGTGGTAGCAGCAGTAGCAGCAGCAGCAGTACCCACAGTACGGTGAGTGTACTCTTCTGAATGTGCTCCTTCAATATACAGATGTACTCTGGTTTCCTGAGTGTGACTGTCCTCCCCTGATATACAGATGTACGCTGGTTGATGTCCTGATCACTAACGTAATGTACTCTTGATGTCCTGATCACTAACGTAATGTACTCTTGATGTCCTGATCACTAACGTAATGTACTCTTGATGTCCTGATCACTAACGTAATGTACTTTTGATGTCCTGATCACTAACGTAATGTACTCTTGATGTCCTGATCACTAACGTAATGTACTTTTGATGTCCTGATCACTAACGTAATGTACTCTTGATGTCCTGATCACTAACGTAATGTACTCTTGATGTCATGATCACTAACGTAATGTACTCTTGATGTCCTGATCACTAACGTAATGTACTTTTGATGTCCTGATCACTAACGTAATGTACTCTTGATGTCCTGATCACTAACGTAATGTACTTTTGATGTCCTGATCACTAACGTAATGTACTCTTGATGTCCTGATCACTAACGTAATGTACTCTTGATGTCTTGATCACTAACATAATGTACTCTTGATGTCCTGATCACTAACGTAATGTACTCTTGATGTCCTGATCACTAACGTAATGTACTCTTGATGTCCTGATCACTAACGTAATGTACTCTTGATGTCCTGATCACTAACGTAATGTACTCTTGATGTCCTGATCACTAACGTAATGTACTCTTGATGTCCTGATCACTAACATAATGTACTCTTGATGTCCTGATCACTAACATAATGTACTCTTGATGTCCTGATCACTAACGTAATGTACTCTTGATGTCCTGATCACTAACGTAATGTACTCTTGATGTCCTGATCACTAACGTAATGTACTCTTGATGTCCTGATCACTAACATAATGTACTCTTGATGTCCTGATCACTAACGTAATGTACTCTTGATGTCCTGATCACTAACGTAATGTACTCTTGATGTCCTGATCACTAACGTAATGTACTCTTGATGTCCTGATCACTAACGTAATGTACTCTTGATGTCCTGATCACTAACATAATGTACTCTTGATGTCCTGATCACTAACATAATGTACTCTTGATGTCCTGATCACTAACATAATGTACTCTTGATGTCCTGATCACTAACATAATGTACTCTTGATGTCCTGATCACTAACATAATGTACTCTTGATGTCCTGATTACTAACGTAATTAACTCTACGTTATAAAGAAGTAGCCCACACGGGTTTATCAACAACCTTCTAACAAAAGTGGTAAGATCCGGTTACGTTTCTTAGCCTATAGTTGAACAAGGGTCGTTAATGCTGAACAAGGGTCGTTAATGTTGAACAAGGGTCGTTAATGTTGAACAAGGGTCGTTAATGTTGAACAAGGGTCGTTAATGTTGAACAAGGGTCGTTAATGTTGAACAAGGGTCGTTAATGTTGAACAAGGGTCGTTAATGTTGAACAAGGGTCGTTAATGTTGAACAAGGGTCGTTAATGCTGAACAAGGGTCGTTAATGCTGAACAAGGGTCGTTAAGGCTGAACAAGGGTTGTTAAGGCTGAACAAGGGTTGTTAAGGCTGAACAAGGGTTAAGGCTGAACAAGGGTTGTTAATGCTGAACAAGGGTCGTTAAGGCTGAACAAGGGTTGTTAAGGCTGAACAAGGGTTGTTAAGGCTGAACAAGGGTTGTTAAGGCTGAACAAGGGTTAAGGCTGAACAAGGGTCGTTAATGCTGAACAAGGGTCGTTAAGGCTGAACAAGGGTTGTTAAGGCTGAACAAGGGTTGTTAAGGCTGAACAAGGGTTGTTAAGGCTGAACAAGGGTTGTTAAGGCTGAACAAGGGTTAAGGCTGAACAAGGGTTGTTAAGGCTGAACAAGGGTTAAGGCTGAACAAGGGTCGTTAATGCTGAACAAGGGTCGTTAAGGCTGAACAAGGGTTGTTAAGGCTGAACAAGGGTTGTTAAGGCTGAACAAGGGTTAAGGCTGAACAAGGGTCGTTAATGCTGAACAAGGGTCGTTAAGGCTGAACAAGGGTCGTTAAGGCTGAACAAGGGTCGTTAATGCTGAACAAGGGTCGTTAAGGCTGAACAAGGGTTGTTAAGGCTGAACAAGGGTTAAGGCTGAACAAGGGTCGTTAATGCTGAACAAGGGTCGTTAAGGCTGAACAAGGGTTAAGGCTGAACAAGGGTCGTTAAGGCTGAACAAGGGTCGTTAAGGCTGAACAAGGGTTAAGGCTGAACAAGGGTCGTTAAGGCTGAACAAGGTCGTTAAGGCTGAACAAGGGTTGTTAAGGCTGAACAAGGGTCGTTAAGGCTGAACAAGGGTCGTTAAGGCTGAACAAGGGTCGTTAAGGCTGAACAAGGGTCGTTAAGGCTGAACAAGGGTCGTTAAGGCTGAACAAGGGTTGTTAAGGCTGAACAAGGGTCGTTAAGGCTGAACAAGGGTCGTTAAGGCTGAACAAGGGTCGTTAAGACTGAACAAGGGTTGTTAAGGTTGAACAAGGGTCGTTAAGACTGAACAAGGGTCGTTAAGACTGAACAAGGGTAGTTAAGGCTGAAATTCAAAGGTTACCCATAAAAGTGATGGCAGAATCAGTATATATACACACTGAGAGTTGTATATTCCTCGAGGTATATACAACCGAAGTATTTCTCACGAGAGGAGTACATCTGCCAGTAATATGCACAGAATTCCCTTTAATTCCGATATTAAGAATTATTCTTGACTGGTGGTGTACAGGCGACATGCAGCTTAAATAACCATCGTGTAGTAAATAGACTTTAAACGCAATACTGCAGTCTTACCTGGAGGTTATTCCGGGGATCAACGCCCCCGCGGCCCGGTCCATGACCAGGCCTCCCGATGGATCAGGGCCTGATCAACTAGGCTGTTACTGCTGGCCGCACGCAGTCCAACGTACGAGCCACAGCCCGGCTGATCCGGCACTGACTTTAGGTATCTGTCCAGCTCTCTCGTGTCATAGTTGGTAAACCTAACAATGCAGCCTTAATGACCCTCGTGTAGTAGACTTGTCTAACCAGGCAACTAACACGTGTAGTATGTATGATTATTACGAGTTATTATTAGCAGTTAATCAAATGGAGTTGACAGTTACAGGTCGTGTACTGCAGTGAAGCTCCACAGCAGTGGTCCAGTACCGTCACATTATTATTATAATCAAAAAGAAGCGCTAAACCACAAGGGCTATACAGCGCATTATTATTATTATAATCAAGGGGGAAGCGCTAAACCCGGAGGATTATACAGCGCCTGGGGGGAATGTGGAAGGCATTCAGGCTTAATTCGGGGAACTGGAGCACAGATCCAATTCCCTAAATCAAGAGCCCCTCACCAACATCAAGGAACCTTCCTTGAGGGGTATACAGCGCAGTACCGTCACAATGGAGTAACAGCTGGGTAGTGACGCTACCTCGGTCACCATGGCAACCATTACCATGATAATTCTGACCTTGTTGTCTTCTCGTTTTCAATGCGATAGTTACATGTGATGTTTCGTGTATTTCTAAGATTACTGTCAATATTTGCATGTCTGTTTGCGATGTATTTTGGGTGCAGAGTTACCTGTGTGTCTGTTGGTGCCTCTGTGTGTTGCTGGGATGGTAATTAGCAATTTAGATACAGTAGTGAAAATAATATATCTGCACCGTTTTACAGTGACTAACATCTGTGTATGACTCACGAAATTATAATAACACGATTGAAAACAAACCATACCACGGGCGGGATTGAACCCGCGGTCAGAGAGTCTCAAAACTCCAGACCGTCTGTAAAAACTTGCATTTGTGGTCACAGTGGTGCCTGTGCTAACTTTCCTATGGTGTAGAAATATACCTAGTTGGATGAATCTTATTGTGGCTAGCTGGTCTAGTGGCTAACGCGACGGGCTGGAGTTTTGAGACTCTATGACCGCGGGTTCTATCCCGCCCGTGGTATGGTTTACATGTGTGTGTGTGTGTACTCACCTATCTGTGCTTGAAGGGGTCGAGTCTCAGCTCCTGACCCCGCTACTCTACTGGCCGGTATTGGGTTCAGCTGCGGGTTACATGACTAAGATCCGCCTCAGGAAACACTTGTCCTGTTACCTGACAAACCTTACCTGACTTACATCTCTTGATTTCCTGAGCTCTATCATACCTATTCTTAAAGCTATGTGTGAATCATGCCTCTAGCACTTCGACCAGATAGCACATTTTCGTGGGTTCTGAGAGAGAGAGAGAGAGAGAGAGAGAGAGAGAGAGAGAGAGCAACAACAATAAAAATGCTTTCAAATGAGCTGATGTAGGTAACAGCTCTTAGCTTGTCAATAAAGTTAGGAATCCTTAACCTGTAAATAGCTGTCAATAAAGCTAGGGATCCTTAACCTTGTCAAACCCTGTGTAAAAAAAAAAAAAAAAAAAAAAAAAAAAAAAAAAAAAAAGAAGAGAAGAGAGAGAGAGAGAGAGAGAGAGAGAGAGAGAGAGAGAGAGAGAGAGAGAGAGAGAGAGAGAGAGAGAGAGAGAGAGAGAGAGAGAGAGAGAGAGAGATTCTTTGTGAACCACTGTCCTCTTTCTTCAGTTCATTGTATACAACTACCAGAGATGCGGAAGATAGCAAATGTAGTCCCAGTCGTTAAGAAAAGTCCCAGGTAGTGATAAACTACAGACCAGCATTACTGACATGCACGTAAGGTTATGGAGAAGATTATCAGGAGAGCAGTGGGGCACCTGGGAATTCAATTCAATTCATAGTTTATTCTCTATAAAGACTACAATGTTGAATTTACAGAATTTGGTTGTTGTGTGGTTTACATATAGTTAAATAATGATTACAGAGTGTACCACTAGAACACCTAGCATGGCTAGGTATTACAGAGTGTACCACTAGAACACCTAGCATGGCTAGGTATTACAGAGTGTACCACTAGAACACCTAGCATGGCTAGGTATTACAGAGTGTACCACTAGAACACCTAGCATGGCTAGGTATTACAGAGTGTACCACTAGAACACCTAGCATGGCTAGGTATTACAGAGTGTACCACTAGAACGCTTAGCATGGCTAGGCATTTCGGGCAGACTTAGTTTAATTCTTAATTTTAAAATATTACAAATTATGAGGTAAGTTGGTATTATGGCTAAGTGACTAAATACTAGTTTGTGTGTTTAGCAATGTGAATGCTTTTGTTTTGGCACAGTACATAGTTTCAGTATTAGAGTATCACAGGATTCATTATTTTAAGATTGAGATTAATATTTCTGTTTATGGTCAAATGGGTGAGTGAGTGTAAGTGTGAACCACCAGGTGGTATTCGTGTAGTTAGTTGACGGGGTGTATCAGGGAGATAAGATGTTTTCTAATGGTAGTTTTGAAGGTGATGAAGGTGTCTGCAGTTCTAGAGTTCTCAGGTAGGGTGTTCCAGATTTTAGGGCCTTTGACATACATTGAATTTTTGTAAGGTTAGGGAAGGAATGTGTTCCTAAACAATAACCAGCACTCTTAATGATGGTAAATCACAAACCTACTATGGATCTATATCACAAGGTAACAATAGGTACACAGTGACAAAGCTCTGCACAATGAATTATCACTTGATAAAACTCTACACAGAGAGAAACATGATACAGCTCAACACAGAGAGAAACGTTGTCCCACTGAAAGCTGGTTGTGTAGTTCGTGTATATATCTTTATCTTCGACAGAGTGGTCGGTATCCTGTTGTCGTCAGTGTATCCTGCCTGTGTTATCAGTGTTGTTTCCTGCCTATGTTGTCAGTGTTGTACCCTGCCTATGTTGTCCGTGTTGTATCCTGCCCGTATTGTGCCCTGCTACTGCACCTGCATGCCCCCCCTTCCATCCCTTACGGTTTTATCGCTTCCCCTAATAATAATGTTGCTTACAGGAGGTAGAGGCGTACAAGGACACCCAGCATCGCCGGCAGGAGAAACAAGAGGACGGGGTGGCCACGCCTCTACGTCCTGCCTACGCTCCTTCATCACAAGCGTCCACGACGGCATCCACTGTATCCTACCACCCCCATCCACAGCACCACGCCCATCCACAGCACCACGCCCATCCACAGCACCACGCTCACCCTCAGCACCACAAAGCTACGCTCTCCTCGGCTCCTTGCGTCAGGGAGCGCCCATCGTGGGCATCGAGTCCCGCCACCCCTTCTCTGCCTTTCCAGCCCACGCCGCCCGCGCCCTACGCCCACATGGGGTACTATCCGATGGATATGGGCGTGTCAGATACTGGATTAGTACTGTCTAGAGTGGTGAGGGTGTTGGAGTCGTCTCCACCTCCTTACCTCCTCCTTCCCGACCACCCCAATGTTCCTGTCTCCCCGATGTCATCTAAGAGGCCGCCCCCACCACCGCCCAACACCGCCCACGCCCGCAGACGCACCTCCGAGGTCTCTGACTACCCCAAAGTCTCCAAGTCCCAGTCCAGTTCCAATACAGTGCCCTCAAGGTCCACTGTGCCGCTGGAGACCAACGGTACAGCGCCCTCTACCTCTCCCAGCTGATGATGCCCTACGTCACTGTTGACATCGTCCCGGGAAGCTATGACACTGTCCTAGAAGATATAGGCTTTAAATGGAACCTCACCTAAGACCAAGAATCTAACCCAGGGATGCTGGCTGAGAAGAATCCTGCCCCGGGAGGGGGAGTTTGGACCAGGTGGTCCACTCTTGGTCCAGGGAAGGAAGCGTCTTGCAAGATTTGCAGAGATGTGCCAAAACAGCTCCTCCTTCTAAGTGCAAGGACGCCTTCCATGTTGCTCTTCATATAAATTAAGGAATCTGATAATTGCCTTGTACAATGTACAGTATACGCCCCGCCATGTAATACAATAAATTCCCATTTTTCATATTTTAATGATGTTAGCCTTCTATGAGACGGTGTTTCATTGCAAACAGAAAGGTTCATAATATTGTCTGCTAGTGTATGTTGTGGAACACTCTCCTCGTTGCTGCAACACTGCTGTACGGACGCCTATCTTCTCAACGAAAAATTTATTTGGATTATTAACCCCGAGGGTTTATAGGCTAGGATAAAGCAAGAAATCCACGTGGCTTATTATCATATCAAGGCCGTTAAGTTTTGATCCTTCTTACCCTCAATATACGGAAGTAACGAAATAAGACACTGGTACACCATCTAGCTTCGTAACACTAGCAGAGACTACTTACCACTGAGCTAGGTACTCACCATTAACAACGAGGAAAGTCAATACTATCTTCCACACTACTATAATTTATCAATGCTTAAATTTTGATTACAATAGTGTACTATTACACCATGATCACAACTGCCATATGCTTTTGCAAAATCTGTGTATACATCAACAGTGTAGAAAATGAGCTACCTACTGTAAACCCACGCTACCCTGGGGGTGGTTCAGCTGTACGAGTCTCTAAACCCACGCTACCCTGGGGGTGGTTCAGCTGTATGAGTCTCTATACCCACGCTACCATGGGGGTGGTTCAGCAGTGCGATTCTCTAAACCCACACTGCCCTGGGGGTGGTTCAGCTGTACGATTCTCTAAACCCACACTGCCCTGGGGGTGGTTCAACTGTGAGTCTAAACCCACGCTGCCCTGGGGGTGGTTCAGTTGTATAAGTCTAAACCCACGCTGCCCTGGGGGTGGTTCAGTTGTAGAAGTCTAAACCCACGCTGCCCTGGGGGTGGTTCAGTTGTATAAGTCTAAACCCACGCTGCCCTGGGGGTGGTTCAGTTGTACAAGTCTAAACCCACGCTGCCCTGGGGGTGGTTCAGCTGTATGAGTCTAAACCCACGCTGCCCTGGGGGTGGTTCAGTTGTATAAGTCTAAACCCACGCTGCCCTGGGGGTGGTTCAGTTGTATAAGTCTAAACCCACGCTGCCCTGGGGGTGGTTCAGCTGTATGAGTCTAAACCCACGCTGCCCTGGGGGTGGTTCAGTTGTATAAGTCTAAACCCACGCTGCCCTGGGGGTGGTTCAGCTGTATGAGTCTAAACCCACGCTGCCCTGGGGGTGGTTCAGCTGTATATGTGGTTTCTAGCCCCACAAGGGAGGTTACCTGATGCTAGTGAGGGGCTCTTGATCTAGGGAATTTGATCTGTGCTCAAGTTCCCTGAATTGAGCCTGAATACCTTCCATCTTCCCCCCACATGCGCTGTATAATCCTACGGGTTTAGTGCTCCCCATGATTACAATATCGTGTGGTTACTAATCTTACCCCTCAAAACTCCTTCAGACAATATGGAACATAAGTGGTATAGGTCTATAGCTTTTTGTTGTAACTACCTTTCTGCCATATTTGTGAAGAATAAATCAACATTATAAGTAACAGAGGCCTAGTGATAAAAATATTTAAACTCTGGAAAGAGTTTTAGAATTAATATTTCATGAGCTTTTAATATAATTACTAGACATTATTATGTGACATAAATAAACACAGGAACTCAATATAAAGGTCACTTTATCTGACGAGTTGTGTGCATTACTGGGTTTCAAGACTGTCTACTACACGAGGGTTGTTAATTAAGGCTGCGTGTCGCCTCCTCACAATCAAAGAATAGCATCAAAAATAGTGATTAAACTGTGTATATACACTGAGATATATACATCGCGGTGTATAATCCTTCTTTAACTTACTGGGTTATCCCAGAAAACAATATACATGAATGGTATATAATAGAGAATTAAGACACATGTTCAACATCTTGGTGTCTTTATTTGACGTTCTACTATCCAGTGATTTGATGAATATAAATTCAAGAATATAATGTGAAGACAGTAGAATTATATATACAAAAGACGAGGTAATCAATCCCTCAACCTTGAAGAGCACCGTAGTCTTCAAGAATATTGAAGATTCCACTTGAAGGATCCTGAAGATTCCACTTGAAGGATCCTGAAGATTCCACTTGAAGGATCCTGAAGATTCCACTTGAAGGATCCTGAAGATTCCACTTGAAGGATCCTGAAGATTCCACTTGAAGGATCCTGAAGATTCCACTTGAAGGATCCTGAAGATTCCACTTGAAGGATCCTGAAGATTCCACTTGAAGGATCCCGAAGATTCCACTTGAAGAATCCTGAAGATTCCACTTGAAGGATCCTGAAGATTCCACTTGAAGAATCCTGAAGATTCCACTTGAAGGATCCTGAAGATTCCACTTGAAGGATCCTGAAGATTCCACCTGAAGGATCCTGAAGATTCCACTTGAAGAATCCTGAAGATTCCACTTGAAGGATCCTGAAGATTCCACCTGAAGGATCCTGAAGATTCCACTTGAAGAATCCTGAAGATTCCACTTGAAGGATCCTGAAGATTCCACTTGAAGGATCCTGAAGATTCCACTTGAAGAATCCTGAAGATTCC